TTATTCAAAAGTAATGCAAATAGTAATATTGCTTTGTAACATTCTCTCTTCAAACCTTGTTATCATAGACGTTCTTGTGGTTCTCGTTCATTGTCCATCCCACACCCAATTACATATGTAAGTTGACTAATTTGATCCTCGCAGTGTCTGCAGTCGCCTCCTCAATCGCTGGAGAAAGTCACTTGCATCTAACATTTGTCCAGGTGTACAGGAGATTGACATATAGATGGGAGTAGAGTCAAAATTTGTTGGTCACGATGCCTAGTTGAAAATTGAGGCCAACAAACACAAGTGATCAAGAGACAAAATCAGGCCATCGCACAGCGACTCAATCAATGGGAAGGCGACACAATAGAGGAGGCTACGTGGGTAGATGCAAAGTCTATTCAAGAAAAAATTCCAAATTTGAATCTTTGGACAAGGTTTATTTAAGAGGGAGGTGTGTCAAGAGGAAGGAAGAACATATTTCCGAACTCAAATGGGGAAGGAAGAAAAGGAGGAGTGACCGCCATAACAGAAATTCAATGAGTCAGCTCAATTGAGTAATACTGTTAGAACTTTAATTTGTAATTAGCAATGCAAGAAAGGGTAGAAAGATCATTGTTATTTTTCATTTCATTGTCAGTTTTGTTGCATTTTGTATTGTGATTAGAGAAAAACTCTACGCCATTTCTCTGTCTTTATCTTCTTCTTTTTAATTTTTTCCAGTATTATATGAATCTCAATCAATGACAGTATGTTCTTCTTATTCACTTTTTTTGAGTAAATTACATCTGGGTTTACTGATTTTGGTTGAAGTGTGTTGAGTTTGAGCGAAAGGTTTCTGATGGATGCTTTTTACTTTTTTGTAAACCATGAAATTGTAGATTTTCTGATGAGTGAATATATGAAATATGATTTATTTGTTTGTTTATTTTCTAAACCATGAATGGAAGTGTTGGGGGAATAAAATAAGAGAAACACTTAGTACACAATATTAAATTGTATTATAGAAAAATAATCAATAAAATTTGAACTTATTCTTTATTCTTATAATTATTTTATCCCTATTCTTGGGTTCCTAACAAACTTGTCATTAACAAATCAAACTTTAACATAGAAGCTTATCGACTATTTTTGGAGTCCGTCAATTAGTTAATCATAGACATATTTTAGATAATGATCTTGAATAAAGTAGTTCCTCATTAATCTACCTTCGCTTCAACATAAGAAGCAACATGAAAATTTAAGATTTGTCAGAGATCTATAGATTATTATGTTAGGGAGAACAAATAATGAATGAATTTCCCAAAGATAAAAGGCAATAGTACATCAAGTTGTGAGAAACCTCTGGAAGAGCAGCCATTTTTCAAGAGAAAAGAAAAGGCCTTTCAATTATTCACTCTATTCCATAAAGATATGTTTGTTTGTATTAGTACGCAAATTAAGACAATATAATTAATATAGTTACAAATATAAATTTTTACTTGTATTTTTCCTAATAGACCTACATTAAATTACGGTTTAATCGTTCATATTAGTTGATAGCAAAACACATTAACTAAGGACATATTATAAAACTAAGAAATCAACTATACTTTCAATAAAGAAAGTGACCTATAATTTGGGACGTGTGAAAAAGGAATGCAAGCATATTTTTATGGGAAGGATAGAGTATTAAAAATCGGGACGGTGCTTCCCACCCACTAATTTGACAAGTGTATTTGACAAATAATTGTGTCCTTTAACCTAATCTAACACAACGCTCAAAATTTATCTATTAAAAATACTATAGAATTCATAAACCAATCTCCAAACACCCTTAATTACCTTATTAATCCCTAAAATATCTCCATAACCATCGCGATTTTGTGTCATCTTGTTCTATTCTCCATCCCCATCATAAGTCCTTATCGCTCTAGCTGAAATCAACCTCTAAACCACCGAAAGAATTCCGTTTTGCTGCATCATTTATCAAAATTCAAATCCTGGGTAGATGGGGCCCCGTGTTTGATCGTGCTTAAAATTCAATTAAAATTGAAAATATGACAGTTATTGAGTCTCACTCGTCTAACAAAAGTCAGCAACAATTGCTAGTTTTTCTATTTTAATTTGATTTTAATCTCTACCGAACACGTCTTTGAACAATCTGCAAAAATATTGTGATGGAAAACTCATCTTACGAAGGACCCGACAAGAACACAAGACTCTACTGCTTCCGTACCTGAATCATTAGTGCACTGAAAAATTGGTCGGCTGAGAAACTTCATCTGGACACTATATGTCGATTCCATTGCCACATGGAGATCCCTCAAATAGACTCTTTAGAACATCATTGGACGATTTATGGTAATTGATTCAGAGTTTAATTTTTCCCCACTCTGCAATTTTTTTAGAGCTTTGCTATGGGTACATCTTAGTTTACATAAGGGTGTACACCCCCTCACATGGGGGTGGGACCCACTTAAATTTAAAAATATTTTATACAGTGGGTCCCACCCCCCCCATGTGAGAGGGTGTAGCCCCTTATGTACATATTTTGATGTACAAGTGGAATTGCTCATTTTTTTATTGTTATGTGTCGTGTTGGAAATTGTTCCCAAGCATTACATCTGGTAGCATTTTGAGAATTATATTAGTACTGATATGTGAATAGTTCAAAAATGTTGTATATTCAATTATGTCTAATTCATCGTACTAAGCCCATGTTTGAGCCCTATTTTTTTATTTTTTTTTTAAATGCATTTTTTGAATAGTGTTTTGATTTCATTTCAACCACATATTTTTCAATAAAATAATATTAGATGCAAACTCAAAACTTTTTCTTATTTTTTTACCACACATTTTCCATTAATACACTATTCAAAAATGGGGCTCAAACAAACACGAACTTGATCATATTCTTACAGTTTCAAAATTGCCCTCAACGGTTGCCTCAATTGTCGGCCGTCGTTACTCTCTACACTGACCTTATTTGTCCTTCCTTATTGGTCGCGTACCTGCATTTAGTTCCATCCGATTTGGATAGTATTTCCGAACAACCTAACAGTATCTTGTCGTATAGCAGAGATCAAGCACAGCGGGCTATCATGCTCTCGTTGAGCACGGTCAGCTACACTTCTCCAAACTACAATTTCAAACGAGAATCCGCCCAATATGTACGTATACGTGTTGGTGCTAAGGAATTGGTAAAATATTTCCAATATTGCTTTGTAGTTGGTAGAGGATAATGTTAATGATTTATCCGAATAATTTTGACTGATGGCTAATATAATTTGAAGATCACGTTTGTTTGGGAGAGATCTTTTAAAAGGAAAAATGAACTTTTTTTCTCATTTTAGAAGTAGATTGAAAAGTAAAAATAAATTATAATTTCATAAAATATATAATTAAAAATAACAAATAATTTTTAAAAAATCTATCCCAAACGAGCTCTAAATAATTAATCAAGTAGTAGTCTGTTTTTTGAGTCACAAATCTCTTTTGCATGATTGCTTGTCTACTTTCAATTGATGCGTCATGTGTGTGATGTATATGATTTAGGAGACTATAGCATCTGCAATGTTACGCTAAAATATATTTAAATTATGATTTAGATCTCTAAAATGGCTGAAAACCTATTCAACGGAGAAATGCAAAATACATTTTCCGGTCAGAAAATATATATGAAAAAAAAGATATGAATTTACTTCTTTTTCTAGATCTACTCGTGGATCACAAGAGGCAAAAAGCTACCAACGCACTTGCACCTGATTTTCTTTTAGATCTTTTCATTGAGTAGAATATAAATTTAGATCCACTAAACGTAAATGGGAAATGCAAAAATAGTTTTGAAAATGTCAATTTACACTCAATTTTACACCTCCATTTGAATTGCCCTAAAATTTGAGTAAGAGTAATGCTATTTGCCACTGTATACTATCGTAGTTGCCATACGTACCATACATGTGACGGTTGGTGATTTAATGGATTAACGTTATCGTTTTTTATTGTCTTAAATATCAAATCATTAACTGCTATATATATGTCACATAAGGTGACTACAATAGCGAGTGACTACAAATAGCATTATTCTTTGAGTAATGCTATTTAAAATCGTTTGTGTCAACACCAATATAATTGACAACTGTTTGGCATTAAATGATAAATTCACTTAAAAACAGTATCATATGATTCACTTAATTGAACTTATCAAGTGTGACGGCCTAGACGGGTCCTCTGGCACCACTGATATTAAGATAGCATTATTACCAAGATTTACTAGCTACCAAGTAATGTGTTTGCTTCAAGTACCTCATTATGTTCTGTTATTGGAGTCATCTAATTCTCGGCTTAAATCAATTGTTCTAAATTTAACAAAATATTTCTATACATATTTATATATAAATCAGCTCAAGGCTAACGTACATACCATGTCAAGCCAGACCGAACAAAATTGTTCAAAAAGAATAACCGATGAATTTTATATATTGTTACACTTCAATAATCATGTCAAGTCTAAACGATGTGATTTTACGATGAAGTTTCAAGATTATCAACATGATTTACCAAAAAGAAATTGTAGCTTAGGAAATTAGAGTGCAAGCATATGTCCCATTATCACACAAGGGAACTACTTTGGAATAGTACAACTGCACTACCCCAAAAAACCACAAAACCATATTCTATTTGGATAGGACATCCCTTCTTCCCGTTGATTACAGAATAGGCAAATCAAAGTTACGTGCAAATGTTCGAAATATCACCACTTGAATTTGTCGAAAAAGACATCATTTTGGCATCATCACAGTAAGATATAGACTACTGAGAAAGTTTGAATTCAGCTCAACTTTAAGCTTAAGGAGTTTAGCAAGCTTTGTGGATTTATCTCTTATTTCTGTATTATATGGTTAAGAGTGTTAGAAAGGCCAATGTCATTCCCCAGCATGGGTCAACTCGATATCTAGCTTTTTACAGATCTTAGTTCAAGAAAATTACTCAATCCAAGATTTCAAAAAATGTAGTCAAGGGCTTGTAAATATTTATCCAAAAACAAGCTTCTGATTGATTCTACATTACATAAAATGTAACAGCATGCAGAACAAAAAAGTAACTAAACTGCACACAAGATGCTGAGAGAACTACTTGAGACCTTTCAAAGCAAAAAAATCCTCCGCTTACCCGTTTCCTTGCAAAGCCTTCAATCTTCTATAACCCTTATCAGTACCAAATATCCTATTAAAAAGGACATGGAAAAAGTTAGATTCATATACATAATATTTATTATCGATCAAATAGCTTTTATTTTTCATCAACCTATGATACGGTTGAAGAATATAGAGAAAGTTCCATGAAGAGATTAAGGCATAGGGATGGGTTAAGCATAGCCCTTCGCGAGCTATTATTAGTGAAGTATTATATGAAATGGAAGCAAAGTTTTAAATTTGATACAAGATAATATACAAAAGAATGACAGAATGACAAATATAGACAAGAGTTCCAAAGCTGAAAATGTTTGAGGGAGAAGGTAATGTAAGAACCTAGTCCATAACCAAACTGTCCCTGTTACTAGGAAAAATTAGATCCTTCAACTTGCTCTAGCTATTTAACAAGTATTAATCAATTTAGACATCCTGCCTACATGCAGTCGAGTTAGCCTAAAAGACGCGTGTTGAAAATCTCACCAGTCCATGTATACAAAAGTTGATGAATAGTTGCCACTCTTTGTATACAGCAGTCGGTGATGATAGTCATGGAAATCAGCACTGAGAATTGACAAAAGAAATTTTATGCACACAAGTAATTTTGAAACAAGTAAATCTTGGGTTACTGATGTCAGAAAGGATAATATGAGTACAAACCCCCCATATAATGGCAAAAAGTTCGAGAGGCTCAATGGAAAATGGTAGCCACAATGTGCTTCAACCGTTTCAAGGACTCTAAGAACCATCCACAGCCACAGTGTTATCAGATGAGGACCAGTGATGGCAGGACCAACAATTGTAGCAAATCCAAGAAACAAAATCTCAGCAGGATGAGCATACTCAGAAGTAAGTCCAAATGGTGTTGCATATCTGTCAGGACGTTAAGCGTAAGGATAAAATGCATAGAGAAGACAGAGGTTACGAGTACTTCGTACAAAAATGGGACAAAAAGTACTAATAAAAGGATAATACCAGAGTTACTTACTCATGATGGACACTGTGGACATGCTTGTAAAGCCATTTTGTATGTAAAATCCTGTGTCCCCAATAGAAAATGAAATCCTCCAAGATGAAGTAGAACAAAATCTGGGTTGAGACTACTTTCCTACATGGTGAATATTCCACAGTTACTCACAAAAATAACAGATGGGAAAATATTTTCGTTACAACCGAATAGTGACATTGCATAATGGGAAAACCTAGAGAGGGCAAAAAGAATTTGGCTTGGATTAAGGTCTTCTCAAATTATTTTGAGAATCGGGATTATTGCATTAGTGTGCTTTGGCAGGGATAAAACAAAAATCAGGTTGAGTTATTCAATCACCTAGATCAGAAACTACACCTCCTATAAATCCAATTTCCCCATATTAACCCTTCCACATGCACAACTCTATATAAAAGCACTTGATCTAATTAATGAGCATTTTGACACAGGGCCCGTTTGACATGTTTTTTGAAAAGTCAAAAAGTTGTTTCTAAGACTAAGATCCTTTTGGATCTATTTGTCTAATTTTCTGGAAGTGCTTTGCCCGGTTAGAAGGGCTTTTAGAGGAACTTAACCCAAGGTATCTTCTTTAAGAAACTCTTTACAAAAAGCAGAAGCCCAGCCAAATGGGACCATGATTAAACTGGCTGGTAATGTGAGCAACCACACTCGTTTTCACTTGTCAGAAAAAAGTGCAGTATGTTAAGATAATGAATATATGATACCCCGTTAGATATTTTGATTATCAAAAGAAGTAAATAAGGGCGGCTCGGAAAAATGAACAGGAGAGAGAGATATATTGTGTTATGTAAGAGACTATATTTATTATTAATATTTTTCAACATTTTATAAGCCAGATAATAGTAATCAAATAGGGTCACTCCAAACAAAGCTTCAGTATATAAAGAACCTGAATATACCAGGACGGCAAGGGAAGACTACTGCGCATCCCCATGTATTTGAAGACAGGATAGGATAAAATCATAACTGGAAGATTGACACAGAAATGATAGAGCAGTAGTCGAGTGACACATTTCCCCTGAGCAGCCGGCGTATTATTCTTAGTCTGTAGCAACAGGGAAAATGATACTTATCAGAGTATTATCAGGGAGGCAAACTTCAGTCTACCAAATCACCTGATACGTTCTACATATAACAATTTATACTTCCGGATTACTCTACCAAATCACCTGATACGTTCTACATATAACAATTTATACTTCCGGATTACTATCAGGTTTCCAATTTTGCAGGTTAATGGCGTGCATATTAGAACCAGTAGCTAAAGATAACAATATGATTTAGACCTTATAACATTTGTTATTTTTAATGAGAATAAAAACCATTGACAGTGGCAAAAAGATAATCAATCTCCAATAAACAACTAACAATAAAGTCAATAGATTGATACCTGAATTTTGTACTTGCTCAGCCATCCTAGCCTTTCAAAAATTATAAAAGGAACCCCCGCCAAGAAGAAGACACTTTCGTGAAGAAAGAAACTTCCAAGACATGCTAATTGAAAATCATTGAAATGGGTGATTAGATACTGCAACAAAAATTTTGAAGTAACATTAAAATGGGGCACTATGTTCAATAATAATAATAATAATAATAATAATAGTAATCACACGCCAAAATTCACAAGGGATTAGTCCAAACAACTCAAATTTAAATGTACAACATAAAGATACTTCCTTTCCAGAAGATGAGTAACACAGATTTATATTGCAAGTATAGATCTGAGGTATACACCTATAGAGCCTCGAACATAATCTGTTTGTATGATTGTACCTAAAGAGTAGTTATAAACAACTAACAATTTGACAATATTATTATACGACATTCACTTCATGTTCTGATCTGTCTTGAATGGGAATGTATTGAAACAATCATCCATGTCTTCCCAAGGTTGTTGCTTTGTTGACTTAACTATTTCTGTTCGTGGAGCATACAAGCTAATTCCTAATATTAATCTAACTAATATAATCTATATCCTTTTAATCTCAACCGAACCAATATTGGCTTCAGTATTGAAATGAAGAATGTTTAACTATTTTGAACATTAGGATGACTTGCGATGTGGTGACAAATATATGCTTCAGGAGAGATATTTACATAATAACTTTGAAAGTCAGCGAAAATTTAGTGAAGACCATCCTAACTCGGTAGATATATAGGTAACTATACAAGGATTATAAGTTTATAAATGATGAGGCATGCTACGCAACATAAGTTAATGTTTTGGCTTTTGCTATTATGAGAGGTTAAATTCTAATTCAAAACTTTAGACGAGAATTTTGGAGTCTAAAGTTTTAGGTTAAATAGAATTAAGCAGGAATATGTGAAATATTCTTTTAGCCATAAGAAGTGTAAAGATGGCCTTATAGTTACATAGAAAATCACCTTGTCCCAGTCACCGAGCGTTTCTAACATTTAGGTTGAATTTTAATAAAGAAGAAAGACTTAAATAGGATATTATGCGTCCAACCCAAAACAGGTATAGGTGACATCGCAGAATGGAAAAGAGAGCATCTATATAGCCAATTCCAAACAAGTATAGGACAAGCATCAAGGTTCTTTATTTATTCACAATAATAAAACACGTTTGGCTAAAAAGTCAAACTTAGGTGACATCTACACAGCCATTACCAACCAAATATAGGATGGGCATCAAGATTCTTTATTATTCACAATAATAAAACATGTTTGGCTAAAAAGTCCAACTTGTAAAAATGTTGGCTCCAAACGTATTTGGACTTTAGTTCTGATTTTTAGGTAAAAAAAAGTTATTTAGTTATTTTGACATAAGGTAGGAGTTGTTTCAAAATAAATAACTTATTTCCAACATAATCAACAAGAAAAAATATTTATTTAAACCCTAATTTTTTTACTAATCTTATTTATAAGTAATTTTTTTAAAGTTAACTAACCATGCACAGTTAAAATATCAACTAAGATAGTTGATATATCTCAGATTGAGATTGAAATGCCCCAATTTTTTTTATTAATATTCGGCCGTCGCTATCATTCTCTAAGACCATTTGTGATGCACAGCAACTAGAGATAGTTCCTGGGTCCAATTATACCGCTGGCGTAGCTTTCAACCAAATTGATATTTGTCTACTTGGAGTTTGGTAGTATTGCCGACCCTCGTAATTATCTAACCGTTTAATGTGTTAATCACTGTACCAAACTTCCATTACATGAAAAAATAGAAGTTTCAGGCTTTCAGCACGGTGGAGTGTCTTTTAACCCCTAAACTTCTAATCCATCAGTGCCCTAACTACTCCTTGAACTTTTTTTTAAAAAAAAAAATTACACATAGAAAGCAAAGCATACAGAATTCAATTGACATCTATTCATTTAATTGAACATCAATTTTGAAAATCGAAAAAAAAAAAAAAAGATGCGTAAAATCAGAATGCAATGCCGCGAATTGAAAATGAGTACAAATAGATCCAGAAAAAGAGATTAAATCTAGGCAACAACAGCATCAATGCGGAATCACAAAATTACCGTCCAAGCAAATTCGATAATCGACGCCATGGATAAAATTCCGTGAATGATTGAGTTGAATTGATCTCCGTAGACTACTCACAAAGAATCCACAAAGCTTAATGGCTGCAGAGAGTCAGAGTACAAACTACAGAGAAAGTTGAAGAGACTGTAGAAAATTCCAGAAAAGAGAGTGATGGGGGTGAATGTATAAAATGCGTTGGAGGAGAGAGAAAGAGTCAATTTTAGAGGAGACAGACTGTCACGGAATCTCACCTCGTGGCCTGCCCCAGATTACTTCATTGCTCTCTTCATATACACACCATGAAGGTTTGATAGTGAAAAGGAATTAAAATGGAAAGAGACTAAAAATTTTGATGGGAATTTTGGTTGAGAATGCACTGAGTTCTCGATTTTGACAATTCCACAATTGGGCATTGATTCACGATTCGGCTTTTTAGGTAATTATGATGGAAATATGTTAATTCTGATTTTATTCAACTTTCTAGGTAGGACGGTACTTCTGATGTGCTCATCATAAGGTCAACTATGCTAGTCTTAGGGGCCGTTCCGATATCGAAGAAAATCGAGACAGAGGAAGTGCTCCTATGAGGAATAGTCGTCTTTCACACTTTGGGGATGAGATCTTCCTTTTTCAATAACTTATCATAATTCCTGTCTCCTCGAACTAGATTTTGGGGTTAAACCGATACATTCATAATCAATTTGAGAGTTTGTAATTTTATGAATTTTGAGCAATCAAACTATAATTAGGTCATCTCTTAATTCTTTTGGTTGCGCTGGTCCACCCGTACTTTTCTACAACAGGCTTCGAAGAAAGGTTAATGCCTTGGGATAGAATTAATTCCCAAATGGAATCGGATAGGAGATTCCTTGAAACTAGAGCAAGAACCTAAAAAGCAATAACAATTGAAATTCAAACGTGGCTCAAAATGCAATCCTACTCTATTGACGTAACAATAGAAGCCTACTTATGCTACTTTGGCTGCGCTTTTCGCCCTCTCTTCCCTATGGATAGAAATGCTAGTGGACACGATGAAGAAACGGGCAAAGCCGGCGTAAACACAGTGGTATTTGACCACGACCATGAACCAATTCGAATTTGGATCTTGAGATGTCGGTGATTTTTGCCAGAAAGTTGATGGGCTCATCGTGAATTAGGTCAGGTTGGCTGGTGATTTGGGATCCAGTAGAAAATACTTCTTTTAAGCCTAGGGTATCAGCCACAACCTGTATTCATTCAGTAATTAAAGCACTTCATTCTTGGACCTTGTTTGTTTATCAAAGGCTAGGCTATTATGTGCTGAAAATGAAAGGAAATTTGTCAGTAATTTTATTGGATTTCCTTGTTAAAAAAGATGAATAAAAAATTAAACAATCTGAAATATTTATTTCATTTCATTGGGAAAAGAAAAAAAAAAAGCACAATAATTATTTTTCTATTTTGTTTGTTTTTGCTTTTTTTACTCTCTTTATTCTCAACTCAACATCTTTGCAATTAATGTTTAACTACCTTCGAAATTAATGTGTTTTGACTTTCCCATTGAAGAGAAGTTAGGTAATTAGCTATATACCTTTACTATCATTTTCATACAGAGAGAAACATTATATCGATACAAATCTTTTGTTCCACTCAACATCAATCGAGTTTAAAAGCGATAAAGAAGACGAGAGGGGGGGAGAAAAAAGTGGTAAAAATAACTTTTTGACATATAAAAAGTTTTTAACCAAATTGATGAATTGTAAAGAACAAAAAAGTGTTTAAGGTAAGTAGACAAAGAGGTAATGCAATCTATTGTCCTTTTAATGAAAGTTATTGAGCAACATTAAAATAAATTCACATTTATTGTCCTTTTAATATGGCTGCAATTAATTTTAAGTTAGTCTACAACCCAAAATTTACCACCCAATGGTGCTGAATATTATTATTCTTCTGTTAAAACCTACTAAGCACAAAAATTTTAGGATAAAGTCACTTCTACATCACATTTTTACATCATCCTTTTCGACAAGATTTGATTGGTGAAAAATCCATTTATTTTTTTAAAACTGTCCAAGCATGATTGAAAATTTTATCTATTGTGCTCTCCAATTGAGTCGCTTAATATCTGAAAATCTTGATAGATGCCATACTTAGAAACTATTATAAAAGGTAGAATTATCAATGCGAGGATTAATCAAAAGCGTGCATCGTGAGGAGGTCAACAATCTACAATTGCATTGCAATTTACATAATCCAGTGTATTTACACAGTCGAATAATAAATTGCATGCTAAAAATTCGAAAAAGAAATATTACATGGCACTTTAGACCACCTGACCGAGAATAGTTGCCTCCAAATGACATTCAACTTGAGTACACAATACTGGTACAAATGTATGCTCCAAGTTTAGGAGCCATAATCTTCTCAGGCACACCAAATGACAGAACACCTGCAAAAAAATATCAAAATCTCAAATGAATAACACAAAATGAGGAAAAAGAAAAGCTTTTCAAGGGGTCGTTTCAATAGTTAGGAGACACGACCATTTGATTCAGAGAGAGCGTTTTGAATGATTCATTTCTCAAGGTGTCATAAATGTAAAGAAAAATTATATACACACGCACACACACAAAAAAAATTGATCTCTTAAACACCGTAAGCTATGCACCAGGTGACGTCCCACCAGTACTTAGGACAAGCTAAGTTTATAAGCCATGTTACTAGAGTGCTTGGCATAAGCTAAGTACCAGTACGTAAGAGATCAGTTTTGTATAAATATATACACACACCCAGAAGTATGACCAACTTGACTATTCATTAGTTGTACTAATGATGCTTGAGTAGAAAATTTTAGCTCACTTGGAAATTGATGCCACGAGAATAATAGAATCCTGGCTAAGCAGAAAAAGAATCAGAAAATATTTCTTAGGCACGCCAAGTAACCCAAAAAGGGGAAACAGAATTCATGACCAAGAAGAGATGAGAGTGTTCAAGTTTATCAAGCACAACCTACCGCCACACAATTTAAGGCTTTACATTCAAACATCCAAATATATGTAAAATGTTCGATAAACATCACTTCAAATTGGGTCCATAAAGGATTTTCATTCAGATTCCAAAACCTAATTACAAACAGTATCATCGAGGGTCTAGGTAGACGTGCACAATATGTCACTATCAACCTTCTTTCCCAATAAATTCGAAGATGGCATGTCCCAAAAGCCTATTGATTCAAGAAAGAAACACAGATTATGTCACTACACCATTTTATGAAAATCAAACTTGCAATTTGATAGGGGAGAAACAATCTGAATCAATAGACATATATGGATCCATTAAACATGGTTCAGTGTGGAAAAGCCATCATTTTGAACTTCATGGTGTTCTTCCTAAAATACTTGAATGACTGATTAAAGATTATGCTGTCTTTTTATTTCAGATAAGCTCTGTAAGTTGTGAATCCTCTGTGTTAATTACTACTCAGTCAACCACTCTGAAAGTTGACAAAGCAGTCAAACAATTTCCAGAAGGTACACATATTCCAGCCACATCATCAAAGACAAGGTTACAGACCTTAAGCATTCTCTGAGAACTAAAACCACCTCAATCAAATTTTACTTCACAAGAACCGCCTTCTATCATTTGGTCTCAGGATCTGAAATGAGCACATCAAACTTTCATCAACGCTCATCATTGCCCCAGCATTATCAAATTCACCACAATAGTTGGGAGCAGAAAAAATTGTAACTAGCTGTCTGTCAGCAAAAAATTCATATCCATCTTCCACGACCTGCGCAGAAAAATCCCAATCAACAGCAGAAATCCAAACACTGAAACAAGGATCAAAGAATTGAGGAGAAAATATCGATACCTGATGAGCACGACATACAAGGTCCATATCATGCTGCATCAGAAACTCAGCTACCTTATCCGGACCAAAAGTGTGTGAGACCCCTCTATCGTTCATCCCCCAACCTTTAACTTCTCTACTAGGATCCGACCAAAGTAAATCGCAAAGCAAACCAGAGTCAGGAACATCAGTTGGACGTGGCAAATTTCTTATTTGATCCAAGTTAAGTAGATCAGGAGAAAGACCACCATGCATGCAAAGTACTTTATCGTCAATAAGAGCAGCTACTGGGAGGCAGTTAAAACAATCAGTAAAGACTTTCCAGAGTCTCACATTGAAGCGCCGTTTACATTCATCATAAAATCCATATATCCTATTAATAGAAGCACATTCATGATTTCCTCTTAAAAGAAAGAAATTTTCTGGATATTTGATTTTGTAGGCAAGAAGGAGGCATATTGTTTCTAAACTATATTTGCCACGGTCCACATAATCTCCTAGGAACAAATAATTGGCCTCGGGAGGGAATCCCCCATATTCAAAAAGCCTTAAAAGATCTCCATATTGCCCATGAATGTCACCTGGAATTCAGACAAGCAAAAATGTTCAGTCAGACTTTTGCCAGAAAAAAAGTGGAAAGTTCAGACTGCAGCCAAAAACATTTCCAGATCATATTGATTAAGAACAAGCAGAATAGTGAAATTCTTCACCAAGAGAAACAAAACAATCTTCAGTGTGAAGCATAGAAGGTAAAAAAAAGTACCTGTTTTTTTAGCTTTATAGAAAACTAGCAATGCTTATTCATGTTCACATAAAAGTTAAAAGTAACAGAAAAATTATATTACATTCTGACTCATCAAACTTTCATTATTTAATGACCCCCATTTCTTTAAACTAATTTTTCTCCCAAACTCATTTTCAAAAACACATTTCAAGGGACTCACAACTTTTATCAAATTTTCAACCACATATTTCACCAACTTTGATCAAAATATACAAAAAATCTAATTTTGATCCAAACCAAACAGAGGCTAAATAGCTTGCACATTTTAAGTAGGAGATTTTATTCACGTGAAAGATAATAAAGACGCAAGGGATGTGGCCCAAATAAAATGAATAACACAAATCCAGACTAGGTTCCCAATATAAATGCAACATGTAATATTCAGCCTATCAGGCAACCACCAATGAAAGGGGAAGAACCTGCAACGCTCATGACATTTTAGAAGCTAGAGTTTCCTTAATAAACTACAATACCAAAATTATCATTTTTACTCATGCTCCATTATATATATAGAGAACAGGAGGGACCAGCGTAGGCCTCCAGGAGATATCAATTGTTTTCCAACCAAGATTTTCAAACATTAACAAAGGGAAGGAAATATTGTTTCCCAATTACAAGGGAAACCTTTTTATTTTTTTTTATCTTTCATCTTTTAGAAAAATAACCAATTAAAAACCATCAAAGCCAGGCATCCTGGCAGGTGCGCTGGATGGTAGAGCCAGTGGCCATACCTGGCCTCCTAAACGTGTAAAATCTTTTCTGAAGCCTACATCATATCATAAAATTTCATGCTTGACCATCTATGCATCTACCTTACTTCATTACCAAATACCAACCATAGGTGGTAAATTTGAATAAGCAACTACACACCACAATCCCAGGTCAAAATTTGAACATTTCTTACTAATTGAACTAGTTTTACATGGAGCCATTATTTGGCAATTCTTGAATGGAAAGTGTGCACGATTATGACCCACTTGGATACCCTGAGATCAATGTTCTTTCAAGGAAATTACTTCGATAAAATTGCAAGAGGAATCAAACTGTATACTCAAAACATAGGTCTCAACTCTTGAGAGAGTGCAAGCTCAAAAAGAAAAACAATAATTAAAAATCTAAAACACTACAAAGCGTCAAAAACTCTTAAGATTTATGCTTTTTACCACAATTTAAGTCAAATCAAGAGACCTATATTATGCATCATTACTATCTCTCAAAATATAATGATATCAGGACTGTAAAAAACTGTGTGCAGCCCTCTTTTGAATTATCATAGTTGTTAGCACACCTACACACGTATCGCATTCACGGCAAGTTGCATTCTGTGCACTTTAAGTGCTCAAGAGCAACATTATCTTTTAGGGATTTTTTACACATTTAAGAAGCAGTTTTTGTTTCTTTTTCGTGATATGTAATATGCATGGATGAAGAAAGTTCATTTATATATTATATACTCTTTGCACGGTTGATGGACATATTGCTTTGAGCTGCAGTTAGGCCTTGCACAGCTCAATGTTTTTTGTGTTTCTTAAGGAACTTGCTTTGGGGGTCAAACGCTCTTTTCTAAACTATCTTTCTGACAAAAAGTCTCTTCTCTCACAACCCGCAACCAAATATAGTGGTTGTGGTCGATATTTAAGATTTTGAATATATTATCTCATTTTCTCGGCATTTAGAAACCATAGTATAATTTTCACTCATATTTTTATATAACTAACTTGGTTTGTGTCTATATTCACATTAACATTTTTCATTCTTGCCAGTAACTAGTAGAGACTTGAAGTTATTTTTAAGCTTTAAGCTTTAATGCATGTTCAAACTAACATTCCTTTCCCATAAAGACAAACACCTTAGTGTTTAGGATACATGTTAAAGTTGCCAGGGTGTACTTTTAGCTTCATGTAAATCATTGTTGAATAGATTTTGTCCATTTACATGTAGAAGTGTTATTTATCACATATCCTAAAATGTACTGAATCTTAGAGTGCATTTTTATTCGTAAGTCATAATTTGCTGATGTATGAGCATTTATTCAGTGTGATATTAGAAATAAATAATATAGATACATTTGTTCTACAACGAAAATGTACATCATACACTGCTAACGGATATCAAAAATAAACTGTGATAAAATCCAAATAAAATGACTTGCATACAGTACAGTTGTCAACACGATAAATAACTTGAAAGGTATGGAGTGCAGAAAATGTATTCAAAATTCACAGTAGAACTACGTGATTACCTATCAAAAAAAAAAATTCACAGTAGAACCACAACACTAGAATAACGTCAACTTCCTACCAAAGTAAGGTTCATGCCATAAGTCGACCAGGGCAGCAATCACCAAAAAACTTTTTATGGCCCAGATTTTTATGAGGAACACACGCCAAATGCATTAACAAACAATCAGACGAACAAGAAATTCGAATTCTTATTCCACAAAATCTATCTCCTAAGCAGCTGTAGTGCTGCTTCTCAAATTGACGGTCATTCTCCTCTGGACTTGATGACTCAGTCTTATACCCAAGTATCTAAATCTCAAAATCCTAACTTTCTATAGCAATTTACTTGGAAAAATTGTATAAAAGATCCAGATTGAAGCCAGCCAGAGTGTGACGAAAAAAATGTCACAGGGCTTGTGAGACATGTGTTCCTTAGTTCTCTAGACATTTCTTTTTCTTTAGGCTGGGCCCGTACCCTGGATCTCTCCAATAACATGTTCTTTTATCATAGTACTGAGTCACTTGGTTTCCAGTATCTTCTCCAATGTATGTAAGTTAGACTTCACACGACAATTTCAAGCTAAATTCAAATCATCTTTTGTTTTGTTTATCAATGGATCAAATGTATTATGTGCCATCTCTTTCTTTGCCTTTGTTTGTAGGGTTTATTCTTGATGTTTGTCATGTAATGAGGAGGTTGAACAATAATAGCTTCAGTGGGCCAATTCCTGTCTTTACCCATGCTCCCTTAACTTTCTTGTTAGATAATCTTCTTCCATTTTTTTTTTTCCTTTTTTTTTTTTGCATAATTTAAGTTAATGTGCTTAGCTCATCCTAAAATTTATCTCGAGCTCTGTCCCTTGACCCGATTAAACCTTTTGCTCACACTACTCAATCAATTAACCTGCAGCTATCATTATCACACAAAGGCAATTTCCTCATGATCGTCAATTTATCCTACATAATCATAAAAACCAGCGTGCATTTCCGAAAATTCCAAGTTTCGTCCCTTCCAACACGAAAAGGTAAAACAAAACATATGCATGTAATTTCACATTTGCATAATCATTGCATGTTATTGAGAGGAGCGAAATGTCATCACCTTCTCAACTTCCTACTCACAAGTCAAAGGCATGTGTACACTCATATATATGGATGACATTCAAAAACATCTATCCAGGTATTCATTCATAATATGAAGATATATACAGACGGGTGGGGGGAATACCGCAGATCTTTATTGGAGCTTCGAGCTCGAGCAGATTAGGCTGTGAAAGGAAGATTTCACGCGCGGCAGCACACAGAGCGCGGATCTCATTCTCTGATAGCTGAACCTGTCGCAGGGTCCTCGTACTCCGGAACTCCAATAACCGATTGATGATATCATCCAGAACCGCAGGCTCCATCCCCTTCCCAGTTGACGCCATCTCTTCCCCTCTTTTTCGTTAGATTCTAAGACCCCCCCCTAAATTCAAACACCAACAACAACAAACCCTACATTCTAACAAAATAAAAAAAAAACAAGAAAAATTGATTCTCGACGTTCCAATTGAAAAACAAGAATTCAATAATGAATGAAATACAAGTCAATACAGATTAATGATTAAGACAAAAAAGGGTAAAAAAAATTATTTCAAACTGGAGGATTAAAATGGGTGGCTGCAACACCGATGAGGCGGAATCGATAAATCCGCTAATCCTCCCTCGTGTTGTTCTTCTCTATGTAATTTTAGATGGAGACTGACTGGACCTTTCTTTTGGTGCCCTTGCCGCTTTGGATTTTTAAGTGGTAATTTCAAATTCAAAGGCTTCAAAACTTTCCAATCTTTCAAATCATATATTTAGCTTATTTTGATAAGATTTTTAGTAGATTTTAGTAAAAAATTATGAAATGTTTGATGGAAAAATTAGAGGTATTGAAATTAATTATTAATTTTAACTTAAATCATTTCCAAAAAGGGACTAAATCAAATAAGGCATTCACCAATAATTAAACTTTGGTAATTTAAGATTTAGAATTATTCTATATGTACATCATGATTTAATTCAGGCTGTGTCTGGCAATGCTTAAAATTTTCAAGAAATCCATTTTTTTGACCGTTAGTTTCTTTCATGTGAGTCCTGGCTGTGAGATGACTGGTCCAAAACTGCGGCTGCAGCAGTCAAAAAATGGATGAAAAGCAGCTAAAAATCCTTGGCAGACACCCTCTCAATAACTTTCGTCATATCTATATACTGATCAAATAGTTAAGCTCAGGGAATTTTTATAGGGATTTTTACGGTACATACGGCAACACTGTATTGACTAGGTGTCTTGGGTTTTTCATTCAACGGCCACTTAAATCTTGACATCTGACAATCTACCAAAGAAATTGTTAACCACCATGTACATGTAACAGGATTGCTAATCAAATCGATCAAATAACCTTAATTTATGTAGTCAATTCCAAAATTTATTAAAAATTAAACTTGATTTGTTGCTCTGTTTTTGAAAAGTGATTTTAGTTTAGAATCTTATAAAGATGTGGTATTAAGCCTTAATTTGTCTCCCATTCTTTCAAAAATCTTTTTTCTACATTTTCACACAATAAAATATCTTTCTATATATAAAAAGTTCCTATTTAACGGAATTTGTTGGTTTAACGGAAAAACTAACGGAAATTGTTATTTTAACGGATTATGTAACGGAATTTCTTATTTTAAACAAGCAGCTGCACCTTCTTTCAGTATTTTTATCATAACTTTGTATTCCGATGTTCGATTGAGGCGATTCAAAATGAGTTAAAAAGCTAACCCATCTGGCTACAACTTTGATTCAGACATCATTCTCCAATTCGATCACTTTCTATGCCAAAAATATGTTTCAATATAACGAACTATGTAACGGAATTTTTTGTTTTAAACAGGCAGCTGCACCTTCTTTCAGTATTTTTATTATAACTTTGTATTTCGATATCCAATTGAGGCGATTCAAAATGCGTTTGAAANTGCACCTTCTTTCAGTATTTTTATTATAACTTTGTATTTCGATATCCAATTGAGGCGATTCAAAATGCGTTTGAAAGCTAACTCATCTGGCTACAACTTTGATTCAGACATTATTCTCCAATTAGATCACTTTCTATGCCAAAAATAGATTTCAATATAACGGACTATGTAACGAAATTTCTTGTTTTAAACAAGCATCTGCACCCTCTTTCAATATTTTTATTATAACTTTGTATTCTGATATCCGATTAAGGCGATTCAAAATGAGTTGGAAAGCTAACTCATCTGACTACAATTTTGATTCAGATATCATTCTCTAATTCGATCACTTTCTATGTCAAAAATATGTCTCAATATAACAGACTATGTAATAGAATTTCTTGTTTTAAACAGGCAGCTGCACCTTTCTTCAGTGTTTTTATCATAACTTTGTATTCCGTTATCCGATTGAGGAAATTCAAAATGCGTTGGAAATATAACTCATTTGGTTACAACTTTGGTTCAGACATCATTCTCCAATTCGACCAATTTATATGCCAAAAATAGGTCTCAATATAACGGACTATGTAACGGAATTTCTTGTTTTAAACAGGCAGTTGCACCTTCATTCAATATTTTTATCATAAATTTATATTTCGATATCCTATTGAGGCGATGCAAAATGCGTTGGAAAGCTAACTCATCTGGGTACAACTTTAATTCAGACATCATTCTCCAATTCGATCACTTCCTATGTCAAAAATAGGTCTCAATATGAGATTAAAACACCGGAGCGTAACTTTTCAGTTGGAAATTGATTTGTGATCATCTTTTGAC